AGGGCTTGCTGTGCCAACTTCTCTCTGTCCTTTACCTACTGCCCAGATAGTGGGAAAGAGCTGGGAGCTTCTTGGCATTTCTGGGCAGGGGTGGAGGAGCGAGAGGGGTTGCAGAGGCTGCAGTATTCTGTGAGGACAGTGGCAGGGGAGCTGCCACCTGCAGGGGTCACTCTTTTGCTTCAGGTCTAGATCTTGGAGAGCCCCTCACTTGCTTTCTATGGATGAGGGGCTTACATCCTTGCTTTCATCTCTCCACTTCCTTAGCTGGTGTTTCCTCTGTGTATTGCTCTAGGAAGCAGTTTGGACCCCCGAGCCCCTGATACACTATTGCTGGCATCCCCCAGGAAACTCTGACTTCCAGTGGCCATGGGGCAGTTGCCTGCCCTACTGCTGTTGCTGTCATCTCTGCGCCCTTCTAGATCCATGTGGCTTCACCACTTTTTAAAAAATATATTTTATTGATTTTTTACAAAGAGGAAGGCAGAGGGATAGAGAGTCAGAAACAGCGATGAGAGAGAAACATTGATCAGCTGCCTCCTGCACACCCCACACTGGGGATGTGCCCGCAACGAAGGTACATGCCCCCGACAGGAATCGGACTTGGGACCCCTCAGTCTACAGGCCGTCGCGCTATCCACTGAGCCAAACCAGTTAGGGTGTGACTTCATCTCTTGCATCAAGCCTTTGTCTAGGTCCACACACCAGCTGCCTATGCCCACAGTGCTCTCCTTTGGCCACTCCATTGGTGGTGCTGACTGCTCCCAGGGTTGTTGCTGCTTTGGCATCTCCTTGTGTATTGTAGAGGCTGTAATGCCAGTTTCCTTGGCTGGTAGGAGAGGCTCTTGTTTCCCATAATGCAATTTTTTTGAAGCAGGATCCCAAAGTAGAGCCACTTGTGCCCCAAATGATGAAACTCGTTCATTATTAACATCCCCATCCTAGGATGTTCGTGTGCCTCCCAGAGATCTGCATCAGCATGGAGGCTGAACTGAACTGAACCATTGCTCTCCACTCCCCACAGAGCCTACCTGACAAGTCTTATCCTGGTAACTAGACAAACTCCTATTTTTTTCAGAAGCCCTATATGTTTTCTTCGTTTGCAACTTAGCTTCTACTAATTGCTACCTCCTAGCCTATTAAGTACTCCCTCTCAATGCCCTGGTATCCCCCTATAACAGAGGTCGGCAAACTTATTAGTCAACAGAGCCAAATATAAACAGTACTTCTTCAAAATAGACTCTCCCAGGCCAAAAACCGACTTCTGCACATGGGCCATGAATTTTCAATGGCACTCTACGTGTGTGCCTGCACGTGGTATTTTGTGGAAGAGCCACAATCAAGGGGCCAAAGAGCCACATGTGGCTCACGAGCCACAGTTTGCAGACCATACCCCTATAACACAAACTATAATGTTTGTTTCGTCTAACTCCACATTACAACAATGTCTACTTTTATTTATGATCCAACCCAGACACTCCTGTTACAATGATAACCTTTGCCTTCCTCAGTTACACCACCACAGGTGAGAAGAGTCAGATCTCAAATGATGATCACAATGGCTTTCATGAATAAGAACCAGTCAGAAATGAAGTTTTCTGTAGCTGACATCAAGAATACACTGAAAAAAATATTAAAATAGGCTGGAAGAAGCATAAGAGAGAATCATGGATTTAAAAGTCAATTTAAGAAAAACAACCAGAGCAACAAAACGGGTTGGGACCCAATAAAGTATGTTGTTTTAACAAAATAATTTAAAAAAAAAAACCAAACAAGAATAGTGTAAGGGAACTTTGGAACAACATGAAGGGGAACAATACCTACAAATAGGGGTACCAGAGGGAGAGGTGAGCGAGGGAGAAAAAAACTGAAGAAAGAATGAAAGACAACTTCCTAACCTGGAGAAGGAAATGTCAGACAAGTTCAGAAAGTCCTAATAAAGATGAAGACAAAGAGACCCACATCAAAATACGTCACAATTAAAATGGCAAACTTTAAAAACAAAGACAGAATCATACGGGCAGCAAAAGAAAGACAGTCAGTTACCTACAAGTGAGCTCCCATAAAGCTGTCATCTGATTTCTCAACAGAAACACTATAAGCCAGAAGTGAATGGCATGAAGCATTCAAAGTCATGAAAAGCAAGGATCTGAATCCAAGACTACTCTGTCCAGCAAAGCTGTCATTCACAATTGAAGGTGAAATAAAAAGCTTCCCAGACACACACAGACAAACACACACAAAAGCTAAAGGACTTTATTGCCACACAACCAGCATTGCAAGAAATGCTGAAGAGACTGTTGTAAGAAGAGAGAGAAGAGAGGGAATGT